CTCGCCCAGGCTCTTCACCTGCTCCTCCCACCCCAACTCCTGAGCCCCCGTGGGGCCATCCCCAACCTCAAAGCCCCTCCCCAGTGACAGCTTTTCAGCCTTGCCCCTTGGTCCTGGCCCTGCTGTCCATCCCTCCAGTAACCAGCCAGGTCCTGTTCTCCCCACCTGCCCTCCGCTTCCCCACACGTGTGCGTGGAGCTGTCTACACACAGGACACCAGCTCCGAGGGCAGAGGTGCGTCTGTCTCCGGTGTGCCCTTGCCAGCTCCTGCAGAAACAGTGAGAAGAGACCCAGGCTTCCTGGAGTCCTGCGTGCAGCTGATCTCAGGGCAGCCCCACTCGGGGCTGGGAACTGTAGGGTTGTGCACAAGGCCAGATGTTCCCACTGCTGATGTGACAGTGCACCTGTGGACCCCAGCTCTGCTTCTGGGCCCACAGTGCCCACCTCCGTCTGCCAGAACTGGGGTCTTGCCCAGGTCTGACCAGGCATTCCCATCCAAGGAGTGTCCCCATAGCAGGCAGCTTGGCTCCAAGCTGTTGTGGCTGGGGGCAGGGGTACACTGGCCACCTTCCTGAGATGTGCCGGCCAGCCAGGCCAGGCAGGGTCCAGGACAGGCACCTGGCAGGTGTATCCACTGTGGCCTCCAGGGGGCTGGTGCAAACTCCTGCTGGTTAACAAAGCAAGAAGTCCCTGAGCAGTCTGTCTGGCCCCGGTTCCTGTCCCACCCTCAGGCCAACTAGGGCCTCCTCGGCCTTGTGCTCGGGCTCTGCTGCCCTGCTGGGCCTTTGCTCAGTGCCCCAAGAGGCTGGCCCAGAGCCACAGGCCCTGAGGAGCTGCCCCAGAAGTGTCCCCCGCCTGGGCTGTTTCTACCTGGTCAGGGCTAGCCAGGCCGGCTGTAACAGGTGGCACTGCACACTGAGTATCGGTGGGTCAGGGTTGGGTCCTACCAGCCCCAGGCCCCTGCCCTTGCAGGTCCCAGCTGGGCCACTGTGGGGACAATGGCCTCCTGAGCCACACTAGTCCTGGCAGCAAAGCCAGAGGCAGCCTCTGTTCTGCCACCCCACGGCCCAGGTCTGGGCCCGGCCTGCAGTCTCAGGGCCTGTCTCCCGGCTCCCACCCCTCCGCCGTCTCGGGGCCTGTCCCCCGGTTGGAACACAAGGCAAGGCAGGCACTGGAGCTCAGCGCCAATGCAGTCGGAATCCCGGCCCAGAAACCCCACCAAAGGAGCCAGGCCACTCACCGCTGCCCCCCCGAGGGTCAGGGTGCTTTTGCAGCATGGCTGCACCGTGTGGGTCCCCCAGGGACACAGGCCTTGAGGACGGCCCTGAGGGCCGAGCACCCACAACTCTGGCCCACCTGGTTCTGCAGTGCCCCTGCCGGCTCCGGGGAGTAGAGGTGGTCGGGCCAGCGGGGCCAGCAGGGTTCCTTCCACTCTGCAACAATGCCCCCCCACCATCTTATAGGCCAAGGAGTGTCCAGACCCCAGAGGGAAGGGGGTACAAGAGGGGTCCCCACCATGGCACTTCTTAGCCTGCAGTGCCACAATAGCAAAACTGTGTAGTGGCCCCGTGAGGGAGCTCCTCCCGTTTATTCAGTGAGGGAGTGTCCCGGCAGCCCCCGGCCACGCAGGGTCCCACCTCCATTTACCCTGCCTTGAGGTTGTGTCCAGCGTGGCCTCCGGCACGTGTGTGGTGGCGGATCCCCAGCCATTCCATCATGTACCACCATTTGGCTCAGTCTGGCTGGGCCCCCTGAGCTCTGTACCCAGCCCCCCGCGCACCTGCTGGAGAGATTGGCAGGGCGGCCAAGCTGCCACCCAGCTGGGCTTGGTGCCTGCAGACCCTGGGGGTGGCAGTGGCAACAGGTCCTCCGCCAGGCGGGAGCGACACCCCAGGGTTAGGCACGTGGCTTCTGCCTGTGTCCCACAACCAGAGCAGCTGGGCAGTTCCCCACTCCAGCTTCCTCACGTGCAACCTGGGAGGCAGCAGGTGACGGCTCAGGTTCCTGGGTCTGGCCTGTCCCAGCGCTGGCTGTTGCGGGGTGTGGGGCATGAATCGGGTGGAAGTCTCCCCGAGAGCAAACAGCTCCCAGTCCCCGGGGGCCCTTCCTGAACCCCAGCAGGGTCTGGACGAGGGCCGCTACCTGCTCCTCAGTGTTGTGGGCACTTGGTCTGCTGTGAGGACAGGCCGGGCTCTCACATAGTTCACCTGGAGGCTGTCTGCACGTCACCCTCCGTCACTCTCCGGGCACACAAGCCCGGCCGCAGCCCCATGAGTGGCCACGCAGGCCTGACGGGGACCGTCTGGAGCTGGGCCTGCAGGGGAAGAGGCCACTTCTCCAAGCTGCTCCTGGGCACCGTGGTGAGGACTGGCAGGCGACCGTGCGCTCTGCTCAGCAGAGAGCCTGCTGTCCTGGCCAGGCCCCTGCAGTCACTCTTGTGGGGGTGGGTACAGCCAGGACCCTGGCCCCCTGTGTCCAAGAGGAGGATGGCTGTCAGGACACTGCCTTTTCCAGGAGGCTACTGCCAGCAGGGGACCCTGGGCGGTCACTCAGGCTCCTGTGTGAGACGAGGGTGGAACTGGCGCCATCTCTCAGGGGGCAGGGAGTTAACACCACTGCCTGGTGCCTGTCTGGCCCAGGGAGAGCCGTAGCCCGTCCTCCGTGGGAGGCAGTCCTCCGTGGCAGGCAGCTAGGGCGAGGGCACCATGGCCAGGCCGGCAGGGGGCGTGCAGGCGAGGAGGGTTGGGAGAGACCCAGGCACATCCCCAGGCCGGGCTAGGCCACTGCTGCCCACACCATCACTCACCGAGGGACGTGGAGGCCACCTTGGTCTTGTGCCCCGATCTGGTCTGGGTGCCCAGGGGGCCCCCCACAGAGCCAGACGGGGGTGGGGCAGCAGGAGTCCTGTCCCAGGGGCTCCCAGGCTGCCCGTGCCCCGAGAGCCTTCATGTGCAGAACGCTTATGTGCCGCAGCCCCAGGCCCACACCCCTGCCCACCACTCCACAAGGCCTTGGAGTCCAGGAGAAGGCTGTCCCTGGGCCAGCAGCTGGAGGGACCTGGCTTCAGGGAAGACACCCAGGCGGCCTGCAAGCCCGAGTGCTGGGGCCACCATCTCCAGCGGACACTGCCTCTGGGCGGGGCTCCTCCCTGCCCCAAGCAAGTGCAGGGATCAGACCTTGTGCAGGCCGCTGGGGCCAGCAGGGAGGGGGTTGGCTTCATCTCAGAGCAGCCAGCGTGGACCCACCCCGAGACCCTGCCCATCCCACCCACTGCATCCCTCAGCCCAGCCAGAGCCACAGGCAGACGGCGGCAGAGGGTGCTGCCCACACTCTCGGTGGGGTACCCCAGGGTGTGGCTGCAACAGGAGCTGGGGCTCCACTCCCCGGGAGGCAGGGCCTCTGGCGGCAAAGCCCTGGAGAGCCACCTTGGCCAGGGAGGGGGGTCCTGCAGACCGGCAGGTGCCTGAATGCTCCCTCGATCCAGTTTAGCTCCTGCGGCCACGCTGATGGGGTCCCCAGGCACCAAGACCCCCCACATACACACACACAGCAGGGCAACACAGGTGGCTGGGGTGCCCCTGCAAGTGTTAAGTGTAGGGACCGTGGAGGGCAGGGAGTGAGGTCATTGGGTAGGACTGAAGAGCTCAGAGCAGCTAAAGAGTCAGACCCCATGCCCCACCCTCCAACTGTGTGGCAGAAGGGGGTCCCGGGCCACCCTCGATTCTCCATTCCTCCTACAGGGGCCAGCAGGCACCAGGAGAGAGCGGAGGCTGTGACAAGCAGGACCCTGTCTGCACAGTGCACTGAGTGGACTGTGGGGCAGGATCCCCAGCAGCCCATGTGGCTAAGGGAAGGGTTGGGGCTCTTTCCCCCTCCTCCCCGTGGGAGCGAGGCATGTATCTGTGGCCCCGACCGACCGCAGAAAGAAGACACAGAGCAAATGCCCAGCTCAGCCCCGCGCCTGCGCCATCCAGCCTGGCCCATGGCCACCTGCAGCCGGGGCCCTGCCCCTTAGTGCCTGGGTCACTCCATGTCCATGGGGCCCAGGCTCTGGGACCCATCCTTCCTGTCCAGCCACCGTGGCCCTTCCAAGCTCACACACACTTTGTAGAGCAATTACCCTCCCCTGCCATCCCCAGCAGGTGGACAAGGCACAGCTGGGGACAGGCCTGTTTGCCTGCGTGAGACTCTCCTGTTCTCTTCCCAGGCACTGGCCTCGCATCCCACTCCTCTGCCCCACCCCTCCTTGGGCAGGTCCTCCCGTGTACAGAGCAGACATCCTCCACCACCCTCCCGCGACGGGCCGTGCCCCTCCACTCACAGCCCGGGTTTTCCTGGCCTTCCTAGGGGACACGACCAGCCAGAGCTCCGTCTGGCTGAGAGCTGGCCTGTAATCCCAGCTGCCCTGGTGCCCTGGAGAGCACAGCCCCTCGCCTTCCCACACGGCAGCAATTCACCTCCACCCAGAGGCCACAGCCGGGCCGATGGAGATGGTCCTCCTGCCCTGTGCGCCCCAGCTGCTCAAGCCAAACCGCAATGTGGTCATTTCCACTCCGTGACAGGATCCAGTGGCACTCCACCGCCTCTCCGTCCAGCAGGGCCCACCTCACCTCTGGCCTGGCCTAGGCAGTGAGCCCTCTGCCCTGGGGTCCCTGCTGCTGCCCACCCTGGTGCCAGCACAGGTGCCTCTGGCCGCTACATCCTTCACTGCTGGAACCCCACGGCGGGCTGCACGACCACGCAGGCGCGTCCCAGCCCCAGCAGGCACAGCAGCCACAAACTTCCGGCCCACACCGGGGCCTCGATCTCCTCCCAACAGCTGAGTGCCCAGCTCTTCATCTGAGGCACAGCAACGGGCCCTGCCTCAGCTCATGACAGGCCCCCGCGGGCAAGGGAACTCCCTGTGGGAGCCTCACTGATGGCACAGTGTGCCCAGCAGGGTTCCCGTGGGGCATCCCAACAGGGCAGCCCACGGAGCCAAAAGGAACAGCCTCAGTCAGTTTCTGCTCACGTAACGGATCTTTCTGTTCCTCTAAATCCGCCCCTCCAACCAGCCTTCTAGAAGCCCCAGGGGGCAGGCCCTGGGGTGAAGGCAGAGGGGCAGGCGGTGTCTGAGAAGGGGCCTGGCCACCAGGACTCGGGATGCCCAGTGCACTCTCTGCAGCATGCTGGCCTGTCGGGGCCAAGCAGCAGCAAGGAACCGAGCCCAGTCCAGAAGGCCAAGGGCAGAGACACGCTCTCCTGAGGGTCCCTGGGTCTGCTGGCAAGGAGGCCTGGGCCTGGGTGGCTCAGGGCCCAGCGCGGCCTTCTTCTGTGGCTGGAGGCTCCACAGCTCTTGGCTCTGGCTGCCCACACTGGGGCAGGGGAGCCGTTGGCTTCTCACTTCTCACCGACTGAGTGCTGCCAGCTGCGGGGGCTTCTGGGTACAGACTCCCCAGGCCCAGGCTGGAGGTGGACAAGTGCTGTTCCAGCACTGCCCGGCAGCAAGTGGGCCCTAGCTGGAGGGGAGGCCAGGAGTCTGGCTGAGGGTCAGCAAGTGCGGGAGCTGCTGGGGGCTGCACCTGCTCCGCACACCGCGCCCCATGGGGCCGAGCTCAGTGCTCCTCAGGGGGACAGGAGGGCCCAGCGTGCCTGACGGCAGGACCAGGTGTGAGGTCCTGGGGCTGCAGGGCCACCCGGCTCCCTTACAACAGGGACACGGTGTGACCATCTTCGGGGGTTCCTGGGTGGGTCAACGACTGCAGGCCGGCCCAGTGTCCCCCGCTGGGTACGTATTCCTCACATTGCTCCAAACGTAATCCCGAGTCAGCACACGGAAGTGCGTGCAGCTGGGCTAAGCAGCGCCGGTCTCATCACGGAAGCCTCAGGCCACCACCTGGGAGCTGTGGTCCGGGGGCCCATCTGCTCCCTGACGAGAACGCCAGGGGTCCACCACCAGGACTCTGCGTGGTCTCAACATCACCTCAGTAGCCGTCGTCGTCATCACCGTCACAGCCATAATCTGTGAATGCAAAGTGTGGGGGATCACGTGGCAGCCCCGACGCCCAGTGCTCTGGGAGCAGCCCTTCCCAGCTCCAGCCCTGTTGGCCTCACACGCAGGCTGGCCACCGACAGACACCACTAGTTTGGTCTCCTCTCAGACAGCCTCGGGCTGGGTGGGGCTGGTGCGCAGAGCAGGGCCCTGGGCCCCTCCCTGGGGGCACCAGGGAGTAGTGTCCACCCTGGCCTACCCCCACCCTGTCAGGTAGCCTTCCTGGTAAGCCCAGGACCACGACCCTCGGAGAGGGAACCTTGCTGGCCCTAGGAGTTGGCCTCTCAGGTCCTGGGCTCTCCTCTCCAGTACATTCAAGGGCTTGAAAATCAACATGGCCAATTTGCAAATGTCTTGGTTCAAACTTTTTCCCAGAGAAATTCAGTTTGAAGCAGACAGGTCTTGGTTTAAGGACTGCTGGGGAGAGGGTTAGTGCCCAGTTCCTGAGTGGGGCCCGCCACCCACCATTGCCCCCCAGCATCTGCAGGGCGCTGACACACGGCTCCCCGTCCTCCTCCTCGGGGTCGTCCTCCTCGGCGTCCTCGTCGGGGTGGTACGATACTGGCCCGCTCTCCACCAGCACGGCAGCCGGCCTGGTGGGCTCAGCTCCGAGGGCAGGGGCACTTGGGAGCGAGGCCTGCAAGGAAGGGGAAGGAGTGGCACAGGACCCGCCTCCCCCCAGCAGGGGGACAGCACCTTCAACGCTTCCGCCCCACTGGCCCCTTCTGGCCTCTTGGGGACTATGTTGCAGGCTGTGCCGGGACCACAACCCATGCTCTGTGTGCCAGCCCTCTTGTCCCCGGCCACGGTGATGGTTACCAGAAGAAGGCCTCCCTCTAGGCCTAGGGGCCAGGCCCTCCCACGCACATCCGCACACCTGGGGGAGACGGTCCTGTGGGCTGCGCTCCGGCCAGAGGGCATGTGCTGCTTGGGCAGCCAGCACCAGGCCCACAGCGGGAGCCAGCTCACCCTTGGGCCGCTGGAGCCCACGATTCCCTGCCCGAGATGGGCCGACCGTGCTCCCAGGAAGGGGGCAGCTGCTCCTGCAGCCCCACCCTGGCTGTACAGGACGTACCTCTCGCACGGCTGCCTTCTTAGCTGGCTGTGTCGACAGCAGAGGCCTCAGTCTGAAAGACAGCACAACACGGCCTCAGCCCACACCTGCCCACTGCCCGCCTAGGCCTCAGCCCACACCTGCCCACTGCCCGCCTAGGCCTCAGCCCACACCTGTCTGCTTGGTGTCCACCCAAGGAACCTAAGGAGCCACTCCCAATGCTCCTGTCCCTGGTGGCTCCAAGTACCATCTGGGTGCTGCTGTCTAGAAAAGCTGGCTCTCCCGACATGGGTCCTCGTCCACCACACGTCCATCTCGACCCAGCCCCCACCCTCCCTGCAGTCAGGAGTCCACTTCACAAGGCCAAACAGGCCTCCTGCTGACCGCCTGGGGCCCTCGTTCTCCCCTCACTGCTCTGGTCAACAGATCCGTGGTGCTTCCCGCAGAAGCTGGGTTCCAGGTCCAAGCTGCGTCCAGTGGGATGGCGTTTGCCTCCCGCCGACCGGCGTTTGAACGCTACATGGCCGTGGCACACGCCAGCTCCAGCGGCTGCTTCCCTTGCTGACGGCGCAGCTGCGGCCGCGTGGGCAGGGCTCTCAACAGTCTGTTCCTGCCACCCCTTGGACGAGCGCCTGAGGTCTCGGGCAGCAGCCACCTGAGAGACCCCTTTCTAGTTCCCCCATGACACCCGCCACTGGTTCCTTCTACCGTCCCTGCAGGGGGTCAGGACAAGGGGCCAAAAAGGAAGGCGAGTAGGGAGAGGGGTGCTGCGAACTCAGCCCACCCGTCCCCTCCCAGCCTGGTGCCACTGCCACACCCCCACCCACAGCAGTGCTCCCCTGCACAGTCCTGCTGTCCCCCACCAAGACGGGCATTGCTCAGCTGGAACAGGGACGAACACAGGACACGGAGAAAGGACCGGGCAGCACAAGGGTGACCCAGAACACTTCAGCATAGGCGCTGGGCATACTTGGACCCAGCTCCCATCTCTGGGTGACCTTACGTCCACGGGCCAGTCCCAGGCAGCCGGGGGGCAACTGTCCCCACTGCTCCTGCAAACCAATGCTGTCTCAACTGCCGATCCTGATGGTCTTGACGGTGCCAGTCAGCTCCCCCACACACCCCAGTCGAGAGGGCAGTAGCCAAAAGCTGCCAGGGCTGGGGCAGGAGCTGGGAGCTGGCCCGCACACTTCCCATCTGGGGCTGGCACCGCAAGACCCTCACATCCCATACGGGGGCGCTGGCTCAAGTTGCAGCTAGCTGCTTCCCATCTAGCTTCCTGCTGACGGCTCGAGTGCTTAGGGGAGACGTGGACGGGGCTCCGGGATCCGGGCTCCCGCCTGGCCCAGCTGTGGCTGCTGCAGACATTCGGAGAGTGAGCCAGCAGATGGAACACTTCTCTCTCTGTTGCTCTGCCTTTCATACAGATGACAATAAATAAACTGACAGCAGCAGGCTGAGCCTGGCTCGTAAGGCATGCAAGGCCAGGGCCAAACCTGCCTCACTGAAGCCTGGCCGGAGGCCAGCTGGGGGCACCTGGGAGCATGGGCGCAGGGCCGGGGGCAGCGTGGCTGCCGGGCCTGCCTGGGTCTCCCCTTCCAGAGGCAGGTGCCGAGCACTGCCGCCGCCCATGCCTGCTTTTGGCCTATCTGCAAGGGAGGCACCTCAGACAGGACGCCTGACGGCTGTCTCCATGGCCTGGGGATCCACCCAGGACTACAGGACAGAGTGAGCACAGGGCGAGGAGGAGACAAACTCAGGAGTGGCTCCCTGCAGATGCCACAGTCTTTTTTGTTGTTATAGCTTTAAAAAAAAAAAAAAGATTTATTTTATTTATTTCAAGGGCAGAGTTAGAGAGAGGCGAGGGAGAGACAGAGAGACAGCAAGACAGAGAGAGGTCTTCCATCTGCTGGTTCACTCCTCAAAAGGCCGCAATGGCCAAGGCTGGGCCAGGCCCAAGCCAGGAGCTTGCTCCAGGTCTCCCATGTGGGTGCAGGGACCCAAGTACTTGGGCCACCTTCCACTGCCTTCCCAGGCCATTAGCAGGGAGCTGGATCACAAGTGGAGCAGCCAGGACTTGAACCAGTGCCCATATGGGATATTGGCATCGCGGGAAGCAGCTTAACCCACTGTGTCACAGTGCCGGCCCCACGTGCCACATTCCAACAGCAGCGATGCCAGGTGAAGCCTTGGTGGCACGGCCACCGCTGGCAGCACCACGAAGGGCTGTCAGGAACAGAGGGGACCTACAGAGGTCGGGCATTTCTGCAGGGACAAAGGACTGCAGGACTCCACGGGGAGCCCTCACGGAGGCCAGGGCACCAGGACACCCTGGGAAGTGGGGGAACTGGAACGAAAGGGGGCCCTCAAGGTGCCAGTGGTGGGCGAGAGCAGGCGCTCGGCCTGGCAGCTGAGACCTGGTTAGGACATCCGCGGTGCCCGCCGGAGTGCCTGGGTCCAACCCGACTCCAGCTTCCTTTCAGCGCACACCCTGGGAGGCAGTGCCAGTGGCCCAAGTCTTTGGAGCCCTGCCACATGTGGGAGACCCAGAAGGAGTTCCTGGCTTCCGGCTTCCACACCACCCGAGCCCCGAGCTCTGTGGGCATTTGCGGAACAGCTCCTATCTGTCTATAAGCCTCTGCCTCTCGAATTAAAAAACAACAAACAAGTGCTGGTGGGGAGCAGTTGGTCCAGACAGGACTCTTGGTTCCCAGAAGAAAACAGGTCGTGGCTAAACAACGCTCGTTCAACGACCAGCAGAGTCGCAGCCGGTGGACCCTGGACAGCAGAGGTCCAGGAGTGGTCTGTCACAGCTGCCTGGCTGGGTCTTAAGTTCCAGGTGGATCAGACTCAGTGTGCGACCAAACCATGAAAGCATTAGAGGCGACGAGGCAGACTCCCACAGCTAACAGCAGGAAAGACCTGAGTAGGACAGACCCCGAGGGCACACAGAAGCAAGACGTGAACAACTCGCTAGTGCCAGGCTGCTGAGACGCCTGCTGAACAGCGGGCGGAAGAATGGGGCCCACGGATGCAGAGGTGCTGCCCTCCATACAGGAACAGCGTTCCCAAATCCGTCACACTGGGCTGATCCTCCCCCTGCAGCGCAGGCACCCCAGGTTCTAGTCCCAGTCGGGGCGCCGGATTCTGTCCCGGTGGCTCCTCTTCCAGTCCAGCTCTCTGCTATGGCCCAGGAAGGCAGTGGAGGATGGCCCAAGTGCTTGGGCCCTGCACCCGCATGGGAGACCAGGAGGAAGTACCCGGCTCCTGGCTTTGGATCAGCGCAGCGCCGGCTGTAGCGGCCACTTGGGGGGTGAACCAACGGAAGGAAGACCTCTCTCTCTGTCTCTCTCTCACTCACTAACTCTGCCTGTCAAAAAAACAACAACAACAACAACAACAACAACAACAACAACAACAAAAACGAAGCCCAAGGCACAGCAAAGTACTGCACACCAACAGGTGTTTGGTTCAGCTTGAGGAAAAACGCCAAGGGGCACGTCTCTGCTTCTGACCTGAGTCATGAGGGAAACTGGCAACAGCGCGGGGCTGGGGGGCACCCGGGGTGCGGAGGGGCGCATCCCTGCGCCCTGTCCCCACGGCCTCGCTCACATCCCTGCCCTTGGTGGAGCCGGCACTGAGTCGGCTGTGGCGGGCTCTTCTCCCATTCTGCACACCCTGGCCAGGCCAAGGACGTGCCTCTCCCGGTGCCCTGCTGCCTCCTTGGGACAGAGCACAGCCTGATGCTGCAGGATCGTCCAGACTACAGCCTCCTGCCCAGCTCACGGCCTGCAGGCCCAGGGCAGCCCCGGCCCCAGCCCAAGGAACAGCAGGGTACCTCTTTCCCACGCTGGTCCCAGGGTCAGCCCCACTCCTGCTGGCTGCTGCTCTCCTCCGAGGCAGCTTCCTGGAGCTGCCCCCGGCGGCCGGCCGCACGGCCTCCCTGGGTGGGCTGTCCAGGCCCCGCAGCACAGCCTCCCTGGGCGGGCTGTCCAGGCCCCGCAGCACGCTGTAGTTGATCTTGCTCGAGATTTTCTTCTGCTCCAGCATCTTCTCGATGGCCTCCCCAGCGGTGCTGGCCTGGATGGGCTCGCGACGCTTGCAAGACTTCTTGGGCTTCATTGAAACACAAAAGCAGGGTCCCTGTGAACCACGGACTCTGAGCAACCAGAGTGCCCCCCCCCCCCCGAGCGGAGGGCACGGCACGGGGTGGGGTCCTCCCAGCCCTTCCGAGGGGCTGCTCCCCTCTCCCCTCTGAGACTGGGCCTTGCTGAGCCTGCTTCAGCCACATCTCACTTGGGGCAAAACTGGCCATCAGCTGGGAGCCATGCCACAGCAGGAGGCCAGCCCAGGAGCTACAGGGCCACCAAGCAGTGACGGCGATCAACGCCCAAAGCCAGCCACCTGGGTCCCCAGCTGTGTCCGGGTCCCGTGGTGGCAGGTAAGGGGTGCCTCGCAAGGAATGCAGCAGGGGCGTCACCCAGGACACAGGTGGACAGCCTGCCCCAGTCCTCCACCCTGGACTGCGGCCTGGGAGCTGAGCTGTGGACAGGGGGCTCCTTGGGACAAGAAGCCTGTGCTGAGCCCCACCAGCTGGCCTCAGACCATCCTGGCACCCCCACCTCACATCCTGGATGCCCCTCTGGTGAGGAAAGCGAGGCACCCAGCAAAGCATGGAGCTGCAGCTGTGCGGGTGGAGGCTCAGGGCCCCCAGCTCCCGCGCGCCAAGTTCCAGAGGCCCTCCTGAGTGGGCAGCTCTGCACCCAGCCTCTGCCTCCTCTCTCAGTCACAAGCAGCTCGGCCGCATGTGGCTGACGTCCCCACACGGGCACGGAGCAGCAGCGGAGCCCAGGCCCCCCAGGAGAGCAGAGAAGCACCGCCATCAGAGCTGGAGGAGACCCGGTCACACTGGCCCCAGAGACCGAGGGCGCTGGTCTGGACCTCAGCCCCGGCCACAGGTCCGAGCGGCACGGGCATGCGCGGCGATGCCGGGGCTGGTGTGCGGCCAGCGTGGGTGCCGCTTCCTCCCAGAGACCCGGAGGCGCCCACCTTGTGCTCCTTATAGATGCCGAGTTCCTTCTCCTTTGCTATCCTCGCCTCCTTCTCTAGAAGTGGACGAAAGCGGTGGGTCAGTGGGTCAGTGGGGTCAGCGAGGCCCAGGGCCGCGGGGTCCCCGCAGGCAGGCGGGGCGGGCGCTCACCCTTCTGCTCCCGCAGGTACTCCGCGTTCTCCCGCATCCACAGCTCGGCCTTCACGCGGGCCTCCGACTCATTCAGGATGTACTGTGGGGCACAGGAGGGGCTTCAGCTTCACCCTTCCATGCCCTGGGGCACGCTGCGGCCTCTGGCCAGTGAGTGCCCTTCCCGCACGGGCGGCCTCGGTCAGGAAGGAAACCGGGCTGCCACTGGAGAAAGCTGGGGAGACCTGCTGCCCCTCTGTCCTTTCCAAAGCCAAGTTCGCAGGCGGCATCCGTGACCCTCCCAGGCGCTCACGGCCCTGCCACACCAGAACCCTGCGGCCCAGGTGCAGGGCCCCAGTCCCCGTGGAGGGACTGAGCCCAGAGAGAGGTCCACACAGGGCACCAGGCGGCCACAGACTCGCTGCTTGAGAGAACAGGTGCCACTGAGGTGCAGCGTGGAGCCGCATGCCTGGGCCTCGGGGCCTGGACGCCGCCGCACGCTCCGTCCGTGCAGACCTCCACTGAGACGGCCCCTGCAAGTCTGCCTGGGCCACAGGCCGCGTCCCCGATGGTGGCTCTGGCTTCCAGGGGGAAGGGTCTGAAGCACCTGAGGCCACTGTCGAGCCAAGGCTGGGGCAAGGGAGCCTGCGGGGACCACGAGGCCACCCGTGCGCCTGGGGAGCCGGGGAACCACAAGGCCCTGAGGTCAGAGGCGAGCAGCAGGCCCCGGCACTGGGGGGGAGACCAAGCCCACCACAGCTGACCTCCCAGGCAGGCGAGGGGGCGCAGGGTCACTCACTCTGTCGATCTCAAGGTCATCGATGCCACTGAGGTCCAGCTCGCCATCCCCCGAGGCATCGGCTGCAGAGAAAGGCAACGTTGGTTTCATTAGGGTCAACCTGCCTGGAGGAGCACAGACCCCACCTGGGCCAAGGAGCTTCTAGAAGCTGGGTTCCCTCTGCACCAGCAAGTCCTGCCCTTCCCTCACGGTCTCCCCACGAGAGCACCGAGTGACGAGCCGGCACTAAGGGAAACCAGGGAGAGCAGTGCGGCCACGGCGTCCTGTGCGTCACAAGACACAGGCTCTCGGCTAGGATGACGGCAGCGGGTGCCCCTGCCGTCCTGATCGGCAGGAAAAGCCCGTGGAGGAGGAGGCATGGAGGGTGCAGTCCCATCACGGTGCTGGCAGGAACGTGGTGAAGGCACAGGATTCTAGGAGCCCAGGCCCCAGGGAGCCCCACCGTCCAGCCTCAGCAAGGTCCCCCACAGTCCTTTGTCACCCCGTGGTCCTCGGCTGAGCCCCGCCCACAGTAGGCTGTCTGGCGTGCTCTCCTGCTGTCACTCACACCTGAGACCCGAGCCTGCTCCTCGTGACCCTCTGTGGCCTGCCTGGCTGCCCTCATTCTCTCAGCCTGGCCAGAACAGCCTCTTTCTGCATGGGGTCACTGTGCACCTGGCTGCCTGGGGGCCGTCTGTCGTGCCTGACCAGTGCTGTGTGTGAGCGTCCAGGTCCTGCTCACAGCCGGCGCTGTGTCCAGGGGCCCTGCGAGGGCAGTGCTCGCTGCAGCGCCCAGGCTGGCCTGGCTTGGCCGAGAACGGCAACGGGACCAACCTGCACTTCTCCTGGAGCCGCTGGGGCCCTGCCCTCCCAGGAGTGGAGTGAGAGCTTCAAGAACAGGAGGCGGGAGTGGCACAGATGCCGTGTTCCGTCCTGCTCAGGGCTCCTTGGTACCGCCAGCGCCCAAGGCCCCAGGTTCTCCCCCCACATTAAACAAATGAGGAGGGGACGAGGGGCTCAGGTCCTGCTCCTTGCACGACTCCAAGCCCGACCGACACAGCCCCAGGCTCACAGCAGCCACCTCTTCAAGCCAGCCAGGGGCCACCATGGCAGGAGCAAGTGTTCCGTGACGGTGACGAGACTGTCAGTGTCCTGGGCGAGAGCAAACGCCCAGCTCCTTACCTCGAGACCACTGAGCCCTCAAAGCCCTGTGCAGGGCACTGGCTGCACCCACCAAAGCCTACCCTTCTAGAACAAATGCTACCGTCCCGCACAGGTCACGTGGCAGGCACAGCCTCAGCACCCACCCATGGCCCCCGCAGAGGCACTCACTGGGGTCCCGGCTCTGGGAGGAGATGCACTCGCGGATGGAGTCCGAGATGCCCAGGCTGGCTGCTGTGGGCAGGGGGCCGAGCAGGGACTCCAGGGCAGGGGGCCTGCTGCCGTCCTCGGGGTCCCCGGCACCGGCCGAGCTGCCCGCAGTGCCGCCGAGCACCTCCTGGTAGAAGTCCTTGTTCAGGTGGCTGGCGGCGGCCTCCAGCTCCTCGTCCTCGGTGTCTTCCTCGCCAAATAAGCTGGACGTGGTGTCCTCCACGGAGCCTGTGGACACAGGGCCCGCTTACCACCGGTCAGCTGGGCAGAAAGCCAGAGCAGCTCTGGGGACAGCATTCTCACCACGTGCAGAACGGCTGAGAAGAGCCACCGCTGGACAGACGAGGCCCTGTCCACGTGGGAGCTGGCGCCTGTGCAGGAGGAGCCTCCACCCACACCCCACACCTGGTGTGAAATTTAGCCGTGCACACACCACGGGCCGAGTGGGCGAGCTGGGAGGAAGCACGGAGCAGGTGTTTGTGGCCCTGGATTAGGCCCGACACGGAAAGCACAAATCGCAGAACGCTGCTGACGTGGTCGGGAGACGCGGAGGCACCGCCTTCGAGGGCACAGTCAGGCTGAGAAGGCAGCCCGGGGCTTATCTGCAGCCTCCGCCCCATCAGGACACACAGAGCCCACTGCAAACGGGCAAAGCAGGCACGGAGACTTCCACAAGGACACGCAGAAAACCACCAGGCTCACCACCCATCAGCAGGGAGGCGTGCACCGAGTCACAAGGAACCACGCAGAAACAAGACACAGGAACGTGTGCTCCCGGAACACACCTGGAACACACCCACACAGAGACCAGCACACACAGATTCGCAACAGATACTTAAAAAAAAGTTCATTTATTTATTTGGAAGTCAGAGTTAGAGAGACAGAGAGAGAGAGAGAGAGATCTTCCACCCACCAGTGCACTCCCCAGTGGCCACAACTGCCGGGGCAGGGCCAGCCGAAGGGGCCCAAGCACTCGGGCCCTCCTCCCCTCCTCTGCGCCCTTCCCAGGCCATTGTGGGGAGCTGGACTGAAAGCAGCTAGGGCATGACTGGTGCCACCTGGGATGCCAGCACCACAGGCAGCGGCTTCACCTGCTCTGCCACAGCGCTGGCCGCCACGGTCGGTGTTCCTAACACACCAAGCTGGAAGAGACCACACATCCTACAAGAGATGCACCACCCCGGTCCATCCAGGAAGCTCACACCACAGGAAAAGGAACAAACTATCGACGAACGACTCAAAATAAAGACAATGTGTGAAAATAGCTAAAGGAGAAAAGAGTACATACGTGATCCTACCAGCGTAACATTCTAGAAAATACGACCCAACTACTCACAGTGACAGAGCAGCCCTGTGGCAGCCTGGGGCAGGAGGGCTTCACAGGTGTGGCAGGTGTCAGGATGCAGAACTCAAAGGGAACGCTTCATTTCTTTTTAAAAGATTTATTTTATTTATTTGAAAGAGTTGCACATAGAGGGAGAGAAAGAGATCTTCCATCCACTGGTTCACTCCCCAAATGACCACAATGGCCAGAGCTGTGCTGATCCAAAGCTGGGAGCCAGAAGCCAGGCGCTTCCTCTGGGTCTCCCATGCGGATGCAGGGGCCCAGGTACTTGGGCCATCATCCCCTGCTTTCCCAGGCTCATTAACAAGGAGCTGGATTGGAAGTGGAGGAGCTGGGACTTGAACCGATGCCCACATGGGATGTCAGTGCTGCAGGCCAGGGCTTTAACCTGCTGTGGCACAGCGCTGGCCACAGAGGGTACATTTTCATCATGTACAGTTGGCTGCGTGTTATACCTTAATAAAGCTGCTAACAGTTATCAAGTGGTCAACTTAACTTTAAAAAGCCACATCTCAGGGGCAGGCCCTGGCAGCGAGGACGCTGTCCGGGACGCCCGCCTCCCGGCCCGCAGGGCCTGGGTTGAGTCCCAGCTCCCTAATGTGCACCGTGGGAGGCAGAAGCTCCTGCTCAAGTGCCTGGGCCCAGAGGAAGCTCCTGGCTCCTGGGCTCAGCCTGACCCATCGCTGGCTGTTGCAGGTATTTAGGAAGTGAACCAGCAGATGGAAGATCTCTGTTTGTCTCTCTACTTTTCAGACAAAAACCTACAAAGCTAAAAATGGGGCAGGAATGAGGTACGGCAGTCAGGCTGCCCCGCGGACCCCACACGCCACCGAGAAGAGAAGGATGCTCTGAAACACCTTGCTACGGTTTAGGTCACTGTCCAGGAACCACGTCTTGGCCAAGTTCACGGCACAGGGCCAGAGGCAGGGTTAGAAACGCCTCAAGGGGCGGGTAAAGCCACTGCTTGCAGTGCCAACATCCCATACGAGCGCTGGTCCAAGTCCCAGCTGCTCCACTTCTGATCCAGCTCTCTGCTGTGGCCTGGAAAAGCAGTGGAAGACGGCCCAGGTCCTTGGGCCCCTGCACCTGCGTGGGTGATCTGCAGGAAGCTCCTGGCTCCTGGCTTGGATCTGCTCAGCTCTGCTGTTGCGGCCATCTGGGGAGTGAACCAAAGGACGGAAGACTTTCGCTCTGCCTCTCTGTAACTCTGCCCCTCAAATAAATAAGAAATAGAAATGCCTCGAATGCCAGGGAGCAGGATGTCCACCACGTTTACCTCCAGAGGTGCAGACGCAGGCGCAGCTCCGCCCTGAAGAGCAAGCGGCGCTTCAGAGGGAGCCCCTCCTCCAGGAGCAGGCCCAGGCCGCAGAGGCTGCCACGCCCGTCCACAGCTCTGCTGCCTCCACCCCAGCAGCCTGTGCTCCCAACGCCGGCGGGAGAACAAAGCATGTCTGTTCATTGCCAGGGCAGGCGCGGACAGACACGTGCAGGAAACAGGAGTGAAGACACCGCAACAAGGGCGCCACCAGCACAGAGCACAAGCCTGCGGCTCGGAGGGCTGGGGGCTCGGAGGGCTGGGGGCAACAAGCAGGTGCGCTGCTCTGGCCACGCCGAGGACCAGGCGGCTCAGCTGGAGTCTACGGCGGACAGAAGACAGGCCCCAGGGGAGCAATGGAGAGCAGAGGTGGGCGCAGGGCAGGTGATGGAGAGCGGAGGTGGGCGCAGGCAGGTGCCAGGCCTGTGCACAGCTGGACCCAACCACATGCCAGCCACGGCAAGGAGAGCGGTGGTGGCACTTCTGTGCTAGAGCCATCACTGGCAGGCCCAAGGACCAGAGACCCGAGGGCACCATTTAACAGCAACGGCAGCCGTGACAGCCAGAGCAGGACGGCGCTGACCCCGCCTCCGTGCCTGGGGGCAGGGGTGCCTCCTTCCAAGCACCCGCGTTCTCAGACACTGGCTGTGAAACTGTACAAAGGGAAGCCAGCATCAGCGGCACAGGCAGGATTAACAACAAAAGCAGAAAACACCTCCCTGAACGCCACAATTCCCTTCCCCGGGATAGGGAGAACCCAGGCCAAGACCTGGACGTGCTCCAGGCAGGACAACGCCTGGAGCAGGGCTCCCCGCCGTGCCGTGCGCAGCCGGCCACCGGCCAGTCAGCGGGCAGGCAGGGGCTGGCGCTGCGGCACTGAGCCTGCGATGCCAGCACCCGAGCACCCACAGAGGCCACGTTCAGGGGAGCACCAGCAGCCTGGCTAGGGAGAGAAACAGAACACGGTGGAAAGGGAGGCCCAGGCAACAGAGAACGACAAAGGCATCTGAGATGCACGGTGCCACAGGGCGACGGTCTCAGGAGCCAGCACAGGCCTGAGGTGTCACGGGCACCTGTGGTCTGCACACGCTGCTGAGACAAGAGCACTCAAGGAGCAGGGGCAGCGGGACGGCACCTGGCACAGAGCAGACCTGGGGCCCCACGGGGCAGTCGAGGCCTTAACGGAGGCAGGACAGGCCACTACGGCCACCGCCACTCACCAAGTGCTGAAGGGCCGGGCAGGGCACAGAGGTGAGAGAGAACTGAGAACGCAAGGCTGACCTTGTTGCGTGGGGGCTAAGCTGCTACCAGTGCCGCCAGCACCCCTACTGGAGTGCCAGTTTGAGTCCCAGCTGCTCCGTTTCCAACCCAGCTCCCACTAATGAGCCTGGGAAGGCAACGGAAGATGACAAGTGCCTGGGTTCCTGCCACCATGCAGGAGACCTGGGTGGAGTTCCTGGCCCCTGGCTGTACCCAGCCCAGGCCCAGCTGTTGTGACCATCTTGGGAGTGAACAGCAAATGGAAACACTCTCTCTCTCTTGCTCCGCCTTTCAAATATACACATAAATATATACGTTAATATACACATAAATAAATACAATTTAAAAGGAAAAGGAGGAGCCAGTATTGTGGTGCAGTGGGTTAAACCACCATCTGCAAGGCTGGTATCCCATGTGGGTGCCCAGTTCAAGTCCCAGCTGCTCCACTTCCAATCCAGCTCCCTGCTAATGTGCCTGGGAAAGCAGCAGAGGATGGCCCAAGTGCTTGGGCCCCTGCACCCACCTGGGAGACCCAGAAATGGCTCGTGGGTTTGGCCTGGCCTAGTCCTGACTGTGGTGGCCATTTGGAGAGTGAAACAGAGGATGGAAAATCTCTAACTCTGTCTTTCAAATAAATAACCTTTAAAACAACCAGACCAGTACCGTCCACAAACAACAGGCAGCAGGCACGAAGGGAGAAAGATGCCGCCCACGAGGCAGCAGGGAGCAGCAGGCCCTGGACAGGCCCGTGGGGACCCCAGCAGGACAAGGACAGGGTGCTACAGAGCAGAGTGAAGGAGGGGACCCCAAAGTTCACATGCGAAAATAACCAAGAGCAGCTACCACAGCTCAGGGGAGGCTGAGGGCCCACTCCCCACCCCCTCCTGACGCCAGCGCCTGACAACATGGCACTGCCTGGAGCCAGTTCTGATGAGCAGAGGGCAACAGGACAGAGACCAGGGCTGCTGCCATGGTGACTGGCACCCCAGCTCCTAACCTGAGGGTCAGGTGGGCAGTCGCAGGATGAGGACCACTGCAGTCCCTCTGTGCTGAGAAAGGCAGCCCGGGAGCACATGTCCCTTCACTGCCACGCCGTCCACGAGGGGAGGAGGCTGTGGGGTGGGGGCGGGGCCTGGGGTCTCAGGGTTGGTAGTAGCAAAGCCAATCTGGGAGGACATTCAGCACAGTGCTGGGAGGAGGTGACAGCAGCCAGGTGCAGGAGTGGGGCGAGGGGGCGGAGTCCGGGTCGAAGGTCAGTGAGGGGGAGGTGCTGACCGAAGTCTCAGGGATGCTGGCCTAGAGTCGCTTAGGCCGTGAGGGCAGGGCAGGGCAGGGCAGGGCAGGGCGGAGCTCACCGTCTTTCGCCAGGTTGGCAAGGGCCCCCTTGGCCTTTGGGCGGCTGTTTTCAAGCTCAATCTCAATTTCATCCTGGTAACTGGATATTTCACCTTGGTCAGAAGCAAGAAGTCAGCACAAGGAGCAGGCGTCTGGCCCAGTGGTGAGAGGACGCTGGTGCCCCACAGCTCCAGCTCTGGACCCCAGCTTCCTGCTACCGTGGACCCTGGGAGGCAGCAGTAATGGCTCAGGTGGTTGGGTCCCTGCCACCCATGTGGAAACCAGGATGGAGCTCCCAGCTCCCGGCTCCCAGCTTTGGCCTCAGCCCAGCCCTGGCCATTGCGGCCATCTGGGGAGTGAACTACCAGACGGTAGCTCTTTTTCTCTGTCTCTCTGCTTCTCTCTTTCTCTTCTTCTGGGGAAAAAAAAAAAAAAAAAAAAGTAGAGACCAGAATTGTGGCACAGTGGCTTAAGCCGCCACCTGCAACGCTGGCCTCCCACGTGAGCACTGGTCCCCGCTGCTCCACTTCTCATCCGGCTCCCTGCTGTGGCCTGGGGAAGCAGCGGGGGACAGCCCCCGTGCTTGGGCCCCTGCACCCCCATGGGAGACCTGGACAGAGTTCCAGGCTCCTGGCCACAGCCTAGCCCGGCCCTGGCCATCTGGGGAGTGAACCAGTGAATGGAAGATCTTTCTGTCTCTCCTCCTCTGTTGCTCTGCCTTTCAAATACATAAATAAGTCTTAAAAAACAAAACAAAACAAAACAAAACCATCCGCCTCTGTCGGGACACTGAAGCCCCTGCCTGGGAAGACGTTCCTTACCTTCGACTTCCTCCAGTCTCCTGGACAGGACCTGCTCCAGCTGCAAGAGGAAGGTGAGACGCGCCAGTGACCGGCGTCCACGCCAGGCCACCGCACCTGCCTCCCACACCAACTCAGGGCGGACGGCAGCGTGTGGGACGCAGGCAGCCCCTCCCACAACTGTGCAGGACGCACCCAGACAGGGGCAGGCTGTGTAAGGCCCAAGACCAGCGCAGCCTCCCCCCAGGCCAGGCCTGACCCAAAGACCTCGATGACAAGACAAGCAACTTCTGTTGCTTCAAGGACTTCTGGAATATTCCACAGTACAGCCGAGTCACGGAACCCACACTTCCTACTCCAGCCTTCTGGAGCAAAACCAGAACCAATACTCTGCTGTGGGGAGGGGCTCTATGGGAGCAGAAGGCTGGCCTCCTGGCGGTGCACACGCACAGACACACACATGGGACAGGGGTGTGGCCAGCACGGCGTCACGCGGGCGCTACCTGCTTCATCCGCAGCTTCCTCTGTCCAGCTGTGTAGGAGGGGGGGTCGCATTCCTCCTCCAAGTCAATCTTCATGAACTCATCGATGGTCAGCTGACTGGTGGGCGTGTCTTCAAATTCTGTGAGCCTGAGACAGAGACGTGCAGGCCCTAAAGAACTGAACGCCCGTCGGCCCCCCGGCCGCACCGAGTCACCAGCTCAGCCGTCACTTCCTGCCAGCCTCTCCTGCCCCACCTCATCCTGTCAGCGCCTCAGGTCCCTGGGAGAAAAACCCTCATTCCCACAGGCTCTGGGGGTCCTGGCGGGAAGACCCAGAGGAGGCCGTGATGCAACGGAGGCGGAGCCAGAACTGCCACGGCCGAGAGCAGGGCATCCTGCCTAACCCTCACCAAAAACTACATCTTACAAAACTTCTAAATGTCGAAAACAGGAATTTTCAAGGAGAAATGGAAGTCAAGTATTTAAAGCAAAATAATTTTCCATTTGCTTTTGGAAACTGTATCAGACGTGATCACATGTCTGCCAGCCACGTCAGACACAGCAGCAAACCAGCGTCCCGCATCCCCTCGGGAGCGACTGGGCCAACCTGTCACTCCAGAGGGCCTGCGAGGCACCGCCCACGCCAGGAGCCACCCCAGGGCTGAGCAGAGGCAGCGTCCACTGGGAGGTGGGCCACGTGGCTCTCAGAAGGCCTGTCACAGCGCCCTTCTGCTGCTCCCAGGCACCCTGCACCCTACCTCAGAGACGCTGGGGTCAGGAGGTGGGGGACGCCCTAGCTGGGCAGGGTGGCCCTCAGCACGTCTGAGCCTGTGCCACCAGGGCAGGCCAGGCACAGCCAGACAGGAAGGGGCAGCAGCAGCCTCGCCTGGGAGGCCCCGAGTCCTGGCCGAGGGACCCTACCTCTTCCGCAGGGTGGACTCGCACACTTTGACCACGCTGATGACCTCTTTGACAGTTCTCCGGAAGTCGTGCATCCTGGCTGCGACCAGAAGCGCTGGAAGGAACAGGAGGGCCCTTGTGAGGCCCAGCCCAGCCCAGGACAGCGACAGCTGAGCCTTGTGTGAGACCTGGGGTCAGGCGGTCTGTCACCAGGGCCACAAGACCTGCACCTGGCACGGCCACTCCAGCTGAGAGGTGGGCCGGCAGGCCAGCACCCACTGTTCCCAGAACACAACGCTGCGTGGGGGGCTTCTGGGGAAATGCAGGCCCCACCTCCATTCACAAAAGGGAGAGTGCAGAGAGGGCAGAGAGCGTCACGTAAACAAATGAGCCCGTAAGCTCAAGGTCACTCCACACGTGGTAACACGGGGCCGAGAGCAGGCACCGCAGGGGAGGAAACCATGGGCCCTCTGCACTGAGGGGTGCTCCTGGCAGGGGACTCCAGGCCCCAGGCTGCTGTGGCCAGCCAGGCCATGTCCATGCACCAAGAGAAGGAGCAGCAGCACCCAGGACTGCAGAGGTGTGGCCACAGCGGTGCAGCTGCAGGTCCTAAGGAATTTGTTCTGTGTGGCCGCACTGTCAACTGCACTCCCTGAGCAGCCACTGCCTCTGAGTTGCAACGTGGGCTCGCAGCCGTGGGGCCTGCAGGTCCCACCCCTCAGCTCAGGGCCTGGGAGGCCGACTGGGAGCATGAGGACGTCCCTGAGGGCTGAGGACCTGCGGGTCTGGGGTGAGGGGAGCAAGGCCCAAGTCACAGCCCACGAGCTCAGCCTGCCCAAACAATCAGCCCACAAACATCGCAATGGCCAGCGAGTCCAGGCTGCCGCCACAGGGCCCTGGCACTCACCTGCTCCGCAGAGGCCCGAGGGGCGCCGGCCGGTGTGCATCCAGTCCCTCTTCATCCGCTGCAGCAGCCGCAGGGCTGTCATGGACACCTCGTGGTTCCTCTCCCCGAACTCCAGCAGGTGGGCGAAGCGCGGGATGTACAGGCATGGGTCTACGCACACACGCGGGTCAGCACTAGCCTGGCAGGGGGTCTCTGGGGGCACGTGTGCAACAGCCTCGCCCGCTCCCCACGTACACGGGCTCCCGGGGGTCTCTGGGGGCACGTGTGCAACAGCCTCGCCCGCTCCCCACGTACACGGGCTCCCGGGGGTCCCCACACAGCTGCAGCAGCTGCAGCTCCTGCGTCCAGGAGAGCCATGGCTCTCCCACCACCAAGCCAGCCTGCACCAGGAGGGGCTGGGGAGTGTCCACTCACTCCCCTGCTCAGGGCTAAGGGTTCTCTAGGAGTCTCAGAAGGGGACGACAGGTCAAAGGGCAGGACAGAGGGCGGCTCTGCACACAGACCAGCCTGTGCATCGCCAGCTCACTCATGCAGGCTGCAGCACTGGCGGCACAGGCACACACACACACACTGCTCCTTGGCAGTGCCTCCCGGGCGCCTGGCGGCACAGGCACACACACACTGCTCCTTGGCAGTGCCTCCCGGGCGCCTGGCGGCACAGGCACACACACACACACTGCTCCTTGGCAGTGCCTCCCGGGCGCCTGGCGGCACGCTGGGAGCAAGAATTCACAGGCCCACAGCAGACGGCGGTGGCCAGCAACAAGGGCCAGGGAAGCAAGCAGTGCCTTGGGAGCATGGTGGGGGCCACACAGGCTGTTCCAGGGTCCAGGCTGCAGAGGGCAAGGGCTGGGAGCAGGCGCTGCTTGCAGAGAACAAGGCAGTGGCAACCCCGGGAGTCCAGGGCAGGGGAGTGGTCACTCTCTCCTCTCTCACAGCAGCAGTGGACAAGGAAGCCCTGGCTGCTTGCCAGCCTCCTGCCCTGACGAGGGAGTGCACTCTGGCCTTGGAGGCCCCTGAGGTCCCACAAGTGGGTCCATCCCTGTGTCCCAGAAGGCCACAGAAGGCCGGTGCCATGGCTCACCAGGCTAATCCTCCGCCTGCGGCGCTGGCACACCGGGTTCTAGTCCCGGTCGGGGCGCTGGATTCTGTCCCGGTGGCCCCTCTTCCAGGCCAGCTCTCTGCTGTGGCCAGGGAGTGCAGTGGAGGATGGCCCAAGTGCTTGGGCCCTGCACCCCATGGGAGACCAGGAGAAGCACCTGGCTCCTGCCTTCAGATCAACGCAGTGCGCTGGCCACAGTGCGCCAGCCGCGGCAGCCATTGGAGGGTGAACCAACGGCAAAGGAAGACCTTTCTCTCTGTCTCTCTCTCACTGTCCACTCTGTCTAAAAAAAAAAAAAAAAAAAAAAAAAAAGGAGGCCACAGAAGACAGCAGCAGCCATGCCAGCAGCCTGGGTCCCCTGCACTGACCACGTGTGGCTGTGGTGTGAGCGAGCGTCACCCCTTGGTTGGGCCATACCAAATGATCCCAGCAGGCCTTCAGCTCACAGTCCTGCAGGTGAGCGAAGGAGAGAAACCACGTGGTATGTCCAAAGCCACGTGACCCCCCAGGGTGGACCTGGCTGTGAGTCTGGGCAGTCTGGAGCCACAGTCCATTTCCACTGTGGAGTCTTGTTTGTGATGTTGGGGTCTGGTGATTCGGTTGCTATCAAACGCGTCTGTTCTGGGGGTTAGGTCGTCAGTGAAGGTGCGCACACCCCACACGACAGTGCGTGGACTGAGCGCTGGCTCCGGTTTCCGATTCCATCTTCCTGCTAATACAGGCCCTAGAAGCAGCGGGACCTGGAGGGAGCCTCCAGCCCCTGTTTCAGCCCCTTCCTGGCATCGCAAACATTTGGGGGGTGAGCAGGCAGCTAAAACTGTGCTTGCTCTCCAGTACATTTTTAAAGTAAAATAAACAAGAAAGATCACGGTGAGAAAGATGGCACACAGCTGTATCTGAGGAGGGAAGCCGGAAGGTGGAACCAGACTGGAGCCGGGAATCAAACCCGGGTGCCCCTCCTGGACCAGGTGTCGCAGCTGCTGTCAGCTGCGGCAGCCGAAGTCTACCCCAAAGTTGTTCTGAACATTTCTGCTAATATTTTTGTTCTCAGTAACAGAAACCATCAGTGCTAGGGGTTAAAAGGGTATTAAAAGATCCCATTCTTGGGGCCGGCGCTGTGGTGTAGCGGGTAAACACCGCAGCCTGCAGTGCCAGCATCCCATGTGGGCACTGGTTCAAGTCCCAGCTGCTCCACGCATGATCCAGCTCTCTGCTATGGCTTGGGAAAGCAGTGGAAGACGGCAAGTGCTTGGGCCCCTGTGCCCATGTGGGAGACCTGGAAGAAGCTCCTGACTTCTGATCTGCCCAGTTCTATTGCGGCCATCTGGGGAGTGAACCAGTGGATGGAAGACTGACCTTTCTCTCTCTTCCTCTGCCTTTCAAATAAATAAATCTATTATAAACAAACAAACTAACAAAAAAAACAACTCTGACCTGGGTGGGACCCTGGAAACAAGTGCAAGTTAGCCCGTGGGGCGGGGTGGGGACTGTGGGGCCAAGGGCTCGGCAAGGCTCATCTTGCAACACTGCTCTCAGAGGGCCTCCAGCACCACACACGAGCAGCAGCTGAAACTGCCAGAAACCAGCTGAGTGAAATCTTGGGGCCCTTTCCTCGTAGAATATGTGCCAGAAGGGGCCGGCGCTGTGGCGCAGTGGGTAAAGTGCCGCCTGCAGGGCCAGCATCCCCTACGAGCACCGGTTTGAGCCCCGCCTGCTCCACTTCCGATCCTGCTCTCTGCTATGGACTTGGGGCCCTGCACCCACGTGGGAGACCCAGCCCCAGCCACTGTGGCCACTTGGGGAGTGAACCAGCAGATGAAAGACCCTCTCTCTCTCTCTCTCTTTCAAATCAATAAATCTTTAAAAAAAAAAAAAAAAAAGAATGTGTGCCAGAAAATATGACTTACAAGAGACCTAAAAAGTAACGCAAGAGGCTAAAGAAAGACTGGGCTGGGGGCGGGGTAGGCAGATGGGCTGCAGGGCTCCGAGGCCGGGAATGGAGCCACAGTGCCACCAGCAATGCGGAAAACAGGAAGAGGGCACACAGGGGACAGGGGAAGAAGTAAACTGGAACTAGAACCTGAGAGCCACAACAGGAGACTTTATCAGACCTCTCTTAAATTAACAAGACTGCAGAGGGGCTCAGACACACCAGCAGTCTCAAATTAACAAATACAGTTCACGTTCTGCAACTGGGCCAGCAGCAGCCTGTATCTGAGGAATCCGTCTGGTCCAAGTGGACTTCCCACACAGGAAGCGCACCCCAGCTTGATGTGCGAGTGGTAGCCCAGCACCAAGCCCCAGCCAATCCCAGATGCCGCCTCATCACGCCGCCCCCATGTAAGGCGAACGCCGACTGCAGCCCATCGGGCTGTCTGTGAGACTCACTGCCTTTGCCGTCTACACGCAGAACCTTCCTTCTGGAGGGCTGGCTTGTTCTAGGACCTCTGTCGCAGGTGGGCTCTGTTCAGTGTCGCTGTCTGTTTCCCTTTAAATGTGGCTTAAGAGTGAGCGTTTGCCCAAGGCTGTGCAGGCGTTTGAAAAGGGCCCTGGTTCATTCCAGGAACAGAAGCTTAACCCAGGCCTGTCTGCAAGCACAAGACGCATAGTGCTCCCCCCCGACGCAATCCTCCCCCAACACACAGTCCTCCCCCCAGACACACAGTGCTCCCCCAGACACAGTCCTCCCCCCGACGCAGTCCTCCCCCAACACAGTCCTCCCCCCAGACACACAGTGCTCCCCCAGACACAGTCCTCCCCCTAGACACACAATCCTCCCCCAGACGCACAGTGCTCCCCCCAACGCAGTCCTCCCCCAACAGACAGTGCTCCCCTCCAGACGCACAGTCCTCCCCCAGACGCACAGTGCTCCCCCCGACGCAGTCCTCCCCCAGACGTACAGTCCTCCCCCAGATGCAGTCCTCCCCCAGATGTACAATGCTCCCCCAGACACAAAGTCCTCCCCCAGACGCACAGTGCTCCCCCCGACGCAGTCCTCCCCTCCAGACGCACAGTCCTCCCCCAGACGCAGTCCTCCCGACAGTTCTCCCCCAGACGTATAGTCCTCCCCCTAGACACACAGTCCTCCTCTAGATGTACAGTGCTCCCTCAGACGCAGTCCTCCCCCCAGAAGCACCCCCAGACGCACAGTCCTCCCCCCAGACACACAGTGCTCCCTCAGACGTACAGTCCTCCCTCAGACGCACAGTGCTCCCCTCCAGACGCAGTCCTCCCCTAGACACACAGTCCTCCCCCATAGTCCTCCCCCAGACGCAGTCCTCCCCCCAGAAGCACAGTCCTCCCCCAGACGCACAACGCTCCCCAACGCATAGTGCTCCCCTCGACGCAGTCCTCCCCCAGATGCACAGTCCTCCCCCTAGACACAGTCCTCCCCCAGACGCAGAGTCCTCCCCCAGACGCACAGTCCTCCCCCTAGATGCACAGTCCTCCCCCAGACGCAGTCCTCCCCCCAGACAGTCCTCCCCCAGACGCAGTCCTCCCCCAAGACGTACAGTCCTCCCCCAGACACACAGTTCTCCCCTCCAGATGCACAGTCCCCCCTCAGACATACCGTCCTCCCCCTAGACAAACGGTCCTCCCCAAGACGCACAGTTCCCCCCAGAAGCACAGTCCTCCCCCAGACACACAACGCTCCCCCCAGACGCACAGTCCTCCCCGACGCACAGTGCTCCCCTCGACGCAGTCCTCCCCCTAGATGCAGAGTCCTCCCCCCAGATGCACAGTCCTCCCCCAGACGCACAGTCCCCCCTCTCCAGCCCTCAGGGAGCTACAGAACACTCCTTTAGGAAGCTTTGTAGAGGAAGAAACTTGACAATAACGAACTAAATTATTAAATAACAGAAAATAAAAATTAAAGTAGACGAGAGACTCGTAAGGAAAAAAAAACTCAAAGGTAACTCCCAAGGGGTGGGCGCTGGGCCTGCACCCACGTGGGAGGCCCAGGAGCAGCTCCAGCTCCGCGCTCTGGACTGGCCAGCCACAGCCGCTGCCGCCATCTGGGGAGGGAACCCGCGGACGGAAGACCTCGCTTCTTCTTTCTTTCTGTAACTCTGCTTTTCGAATAAACAAATATTAAAAAAAAAAAAAAAACAAAACAAACAAACCTGGCATGGTACTGGCATAGAGACCCACGGAATGGAATGAGAGCCCAGAAATAAACCTTTGATGCCTGCTCCAATGATGCCCAACAAGTAGACACAACAGAAGGGGACAAGGCTGGGGAAAGTGGAAGTGTACACACTGAAGAATGGAGAAGAGCCGGTGCGCGGCTCACTAGGCTAATCCTCCGCCTGTGGCACCGGCACCCCAGGTTCTAGTCCCAGTCGGGGCGCCGGATTCTGTCCCGGTTGCCCCTCTTCCAGGCCAGCTCTCTGCTGTGGCCCAGGAGTGCAGTGGAGGATGGCCCAAGTGCTTGGGCCCTGCACCCGCATGGGAGACCAGGAGCAAGCTCCTGGCTTCAGATCGGCACAGCTCCAGCAGTTGCAGCCATTTGGAGAGTGAACCAACTGAGGAAAGACCTTTCTCTCTCTCACACTGTCTGTAACTCTGTCAAATAAATAAATAAATAAATCTAAAAAAAAAAAAAGACTATAGGGGCCGGCACTGTGGCACAGTGGGTAAAGCCACCACCTAGAGTACCAGCATCCCAGTAGAAGATGGCCCAAGTCCTCGCACCCCTGCACGTAAGTGGGAGACCCAGAAGCTCCTGGCTTTGGATAAGCGCAGCTGTGGCCGCTGCGGCCATCTGGGGAGTAAACAAGTGGATGGAAGACCTCTCCCCCCCCCCACCTCTCTCTGCCTCTCTCTGTCTTCAAATAAATAAATAAATCTTAAAAAAAAAAAAAAAAAAAAAAAAAAAAGACTTTATGCAGAGTTAGAAAAAGAGAAGGGCAGACGGGGAGAGATCTTCCCTCTGTTGGTTCACCCCACCTGGCCACAAAGGCTGGTGCTAGGCCAGGCCGCAGCCACGAGCTTCATCAGGGTCTCCTGAGGGGATGCAGGGCCCAAGCACTTGGGTCATGCTCCCTACTTTCCCAGGGACATTGGCAGGGAGCTGGATCCAAAGTGGAGCAGCCGGAACAGGAACTGGTGCCCACAGGGGATGCTGGCATCACAGGCAGCAGCGTCACCCATTAGCCCAAAAACCACTTTTTTCTGTTGTCAATTATCCACACTCAGGCATCCTGCCACAGCAGTGTGACGGCCCAGGACCAGAGCCTGGCCCGTGGAGGGGTCTTTGTCCCTCCTATGTGCAGTCACTCTCACCAATCAGGTCTCAAACAGCACCTGCCAGTGAGCGTTCACCTCACCACCCCACACCCAGCAGCGCACAGACGCCCTCTGCCTGTCCCTGCCTGCCACCCCCTCTCTGCTGCACTTCTCACCGTCTGGCCTACTGTCCACTCACCTTGTGTTCACTGCCCAGCTCTGTGTGGGGTCTGGCACACAGTACATCCTCCACAAACATTTACTGAATAAACTTAAAAAGGGGTAGGGCAATGTATGGGATAGGAGAACACGCGTATCTGACAAAGGCAAACGCCCAGGCGATGTAAGGAACTCAGTAAGCAGCAACGATGACAGAAGAAACATCTTCACTTACAAATGGGCAAGGCCGGGCTCGGTGTTGCGGTGCAGTGAGTCAAGCTGCTGCCTGCGGCACTGGCATCCCACATGGGTGCCTGTTCATATCCTGGCCTTACCACTTGCAATCCAGCTCCCTGCTGTGGCCTGGGAAAGCAGTGGAAGATGCCCCAGGTACTTGGGCCCCTGCACCCACATGGGAGACCCAGAAGCAGCTCCTGGCTCCTGGCTTCAGTCTGGCTCAGCTCTGGCTGTTGCAGCCATTAGGTGAGTGAATCAATGGATGGAAGATCTCTCCTTCCTCTTTCTCTCTAACTCTGCCTTTCAATAAATAATAAATCTTTAAAAAAAGAAAGCAAAGGCGGGGGCGGGGCAAGGCCAGGCACTTCGCCCAGCGGGTAAGATGCCTGTGGCCCTCACCTGCTCAGTTCCCGCTGCACGCCGACTCCAGCTTCCTGCTCACACACCTGGAAGGCGGCAGTCATGGCTCGAGTGGCCAAGTCTCAGCCACCTGTGGGAGACCTGGGCTGAGTTCCTGGATCTCAGCTTTGGCCTTGTCCCAGTCTTAGCCACTGTGGGCATTTGCGGAGTGAAGCAGCAGATGGGAATATTCTTTCTGTGTCCCTCAAATAATAAATGAATATACTTTCAATGGGCAAAGGAGTTGGATAGATTTCTCTGAAGAAAGCGTGCAGCAGTCAGGAAGCCTATCAAAGATGCTCAACACCACTTTATCAAGGAAACGCAAGTCAAAACCCCGAGTCCGCGAGGACAGCCTCTGTCGGAAACAAGCACAAACTCTGACGAGGGAGGAGGAGAAAGGAGCTCCTGGACCCTGCTGCTGGCAACGTAAAACGTGGGACCGCTTGACAGAAACAGTGGGTGGCCCCCAATCACCACGCCCCAGCAGTCGCACTTCTGACGCTGCTCAGACACCCCAGCCCACACGGCCGAGCCCGGGCCCCAGGCCTGGCCCTGCTCGGACACCCCAGCCCACACGGCCGAGCCCGGGCCCCAGGCCTGGCCCTGCTCGGACACCCCAGCCCACACGGCCGAGCCCGGGCTCCAGGCCTGGCCCTGCTCGGACACCCCAGCCCACACGGCTGAGCCCGGGCTCCAGGCCTGGCCCTGCTCGGACACCCCCAGCCCACACGGCCGAGCCTGGGCCCCAGGCCTGGCCCTGCTCGGACACCCCAGCCCACACGGCCGAGCCTGGGCTCCAGGCCTGGCCCTGCTCGGACTCCAGCTTTCTGCTGATGCGCACCATGGGAGGCAGCAGCTGATGGCTCAAGTCACTGGGTCCCTGGTACCCGCGTGGGACACCTGGATGGAGTTCCAGGCTCCAAGCTTTGACTTGGCTGTTGTAGGCATTTGGAGAGTGAACCAGAAGATGGAAGGTCTTTGTCTCTTTGCCCTTCAAATAAACTGGAAAGTAATTACAAATCTGAAAAAACCTCAGAATTCTGAACGGGTTTTTGCACTCCTGTAGTCACAGCAGCACCGCGCACAACAGCTGAAACAATGGAAGCAACCAAGTGTGCATCAGTGAACGAACGGAAGAGCAGGATGTGTCCAACCGTATGATGGGCTGTCACTCGGCTTTGAAGAGGAAGGGGATTGTCACACAGATATGACACGAACGAACCCTGCAGGAAATTACACCAAGTGAGGGGCCGGTGCTGAGGCACAGCGGGTTGACGCCCTGGCCTGAAGCGCCGGCATCCCATATGGGCGCCAGTTCGAGTCCCGGCTGCTCCTCTTCCAATCCAGCTCGCTGCTGTGGCCTGGGGAAGCAGTAGAAGATGGCCCAAGTCCTTGGGCCCCTGTACCCATGTGGGAGACCCGGAAGAAGCTCCTGGCTCCTGATCGGTGCAGTTCCGGCCGTTGCGGCCACCTGGGGAGTGAACCAGCGGATGGAAGACCTCTCCCTCTGTCTCTGCCTCTCTCTCTAACTCTGCCTGTCAAATAATAAATAAAATAAATCTCTAAAAAAAACTACACCAAGTGAGACAGGCCAATCATAAAAGAGAAAAACCATTTGACTGCACTGACGCAGGATGGAGGTGATGAGGGGCTGGGAGGAACGGGGGCCGCTGCTAAACAAAGGGCCACCACACAGGATGTGGTTCGAGTCCCAGCTCGCTCTGCTCCGACACAGCCCCTTGCTCATCAGCTGCGCTCGATGGTGTCCAAGCCCACGCGGGAGGCCTGGATGGAGTTCCCGGCTCCTGGCACTGGCCTGGCCAAGCCTCGCTGATGCGCCATCTGGGGGGGTGGGGGGAACCAGCATAGATTGCTCTCTCTCTGCCTTTCAAATATATAAATAAAAACTGTGGCGAGTAAATTCACAGCAAGTGTTTATCACAATAAAGAGGAAGCTACCCCTAGAGCTGGAATTCTAAGGAGATCAATACACAGGCAGAACTTGACCAAGTCCACCAAGAGAAAAGACACAAGGAGCACACAGGCGGGGGCTCAGAACCCGGAAACGCGTCTGACGCACACACGACGTTCAGAATGGAGGCGGCCGTGCTGGCCTTCTGTGTCGAAGCCCAAGAACTTTCAGATACTCACACCTCTCGGGTGACGGCAGCCCCTCCGAGGCACCAGCCACCCAGGTTTTGCGGGCGGCTGCTCTCACCCCTTCTCCACGCACATCAGGAAGGCACACAGCCTGCCCAGCCCCTCTGCTGGCAGTGGACAGCGGGCTGTCCCCTCAGGCCCTGCTACCTTCTGCAAAGTGCTCACTTCTCACGCTCCTCCGTGGCTGCCACCGTGGCCGGCGAGGCGCCCGTGTTACGAGGACACTGCTGTGGCCTCTGTGGACACGTCCTGCTGGGCACACACAGGTGTCTTCCCTCAGGGCCTTTCGGCCCTAGTCCCACAGCTGTGAGTCACCCTGATCACAGCCCACCAGTGGGTGCTCCTCAACCCCAGCTGTGGTCAGTCTGCCCAAGGTCAGCCACCGTCTAACTAACCTCGTGCTTGTTGGCTACTTAGGCAGCCTTTCTCCGCGTAGGAAAATTACTTGAGAAAGAGAGTGCATGAGCGCTCCCACCTGCCGGCTCACTCCCCAAACACCCGCGTGGCTGGGGGCAGCTGAGCCTGGGCACTCTCCCAGCAGAGGCCGACTCGCAGTGCCCAGCCTCCTGCGCACGTGAACAGCCGGGGCCCCGCCCCCCCCCAGACCTGTGCTCCTCACCTGCTCCTTTGCTGCAGACTTCTGGGGGCCTGCACAAGAATGAGGCTGAAACGGGAGCAGACTGATAGCAGCTGTGTCGGCCAAAACTCCCGGAGCTGCCCAGCTGCAGGGCCGTGGGATGGCCAGGAAGCCACTGCTGACAGCAGAGGCTCTAGGGCTCCAGGCTCCGCTCAGGAACGGCCTGGAGGTTCCCTTGCCGGCAAAACCAAGGGACAGCATCGCCCACCTCCCAGCACCAGCGCGGGGCTGTCTGGTGACACGTGAGCAACACCAGCAGAGCCGTCCCCGGGCATGAGGCTGCACCCGGCACCCCAAAAGAACGGTCAAAGGACTGGCGACGGACCAACAGAGGCCGCCAGGGCCAGATCCCACGGCTCTGCCCTCTGCAGGGCTCCCTGGGCTACCCGAGCGCGCCGGCGGACGACGCAGGAAGTGGCCATCAGAAGGCTATGAGCAGAGTATTTAGGAAAAGAACCACCTACGTTCTCCGCGCCCTAGGTTCGCAGAGCCCGAGGGGTGGGTGCTGCCGGGGCGGGAACCGCAGCCTCTCACACACTCTTGGGGTACAGCGGCCCTGTGCAGAACTGGCAAACCCAGCCCGCAAGCCCAAACTAGACCGCCCCGGGGCAGACGCGTCGGCGCCGACGGCCCCTCCTGCCCCGGGAGTCCAGCCGCCCAGCCGCAGAACGGAGGGCGGGGCGCGACCGAGCTAGCAGCGCTTTCCTCCCGCGGTGTGGGGAGCAGCTGGGCGTAGCAGAGCGGCTGCGCGCTCGTGTACAATGGCAGAGTGCCCGGGTTCGAGCCCAGCCCCGGGGTCTCCTATTGCAGGACTGAAGGCAGTGGCGCGGATCTCAGGGGCTAAGGTCTGCCCGCCATGCGGGAAAGCTGGACCCTGGTCCCCAACGCCAGCCCTGCCCACAGAGGGAGGGAGCGAGTGGCTGGGGGCGCTCTCACTCACTCTCAAGTGAGTCACAAAGGAATTTTTTTTTTAGATAATTACATTTCGCTCTTGGGCGACGAACGATGAATCCTTTAAAATGGTGGGAGGGGTCGGGGACTAAACAGCGGATGCAGCCGGCCGGGAGCGCACCCTCCCCCGCAACCCGCTTAAGGGTGCACGCCTGGACGGGGTCGGGTGCCGGTGGGCGGGGCCTGCGCGCGTCACGCCGCGGCGGGGCGGGGCCTCGGCCGCGCGCCGTGACGCACAGTGACGCGCCGGCGCCGCAGCGGGTACGGACTAGGGCGGGCGGCAGGGACGGCGCCCCCTGCGGCCGGGCTGCGGGCTGCGGGCGGGGCGGGGTGGGGCCGCGGCGCGGGCAGCAGCGCCCCCCGGCCGGCGGGCCCCGCAGGCCGCCCCCGCAGGCCGCCGCGGCCCCATGCTGCTGCCCCTGGCCTGCCTGCACGGCCGCGTCGCGCAGTGCCTGACCTCGCTCCTGGTGCTTGCAGAGCCGCGGACCAAGCCCCGGCGCGGCGCCAGGGTGCGCGGCGCGGCGCCTCCCAGCGCTGAGGCCGCCCCCGCCGCGCCGCCCGCGAAGATGGCCGCGGAGCTGTACGCCCCCGCCGGCGCCGCGGCTGCCGCCACCGACCTGGCCAACAGCAACGCCGCCAGCGCCGCGGCCAGCGCCGCGGCGGGCAGGAAGGCCGGCCCGCGCTGCCCGCCCAGCGCGCCGCCCCCGGCCCCGCCGCCGCCCGCCCCCGCGCCGCCCGCGCCCAACAACAACAACTTGGAGAGCCCCCACTGGCAGTCCTTCCACCCGACGCTGCGCGAGAGGTGAGCCCGGCCGGCGCCCCTCCCCGGCCCCGCGCGCGGCGCCCGGCCGCGGACCAAGCCCGTGTGCCTCTGCCCCTGCAGGAACGCGCTCATGTTCAACAACGAGCTCATGGCCGACGTCCACTTCATCGTGGGGCCGCTGGGGGCGGCCAGGAGGGTGCCTGCCCACAAGGTCGGTAGCGGCCCGGCCCCGCCCCGGCTCCCCGGGCCCCCGCACTGCGCACGCAGCTGCGGCTCACGCGCCTGTCTCGCCCGCAGTACGTGCTGGCCGTCGGCAGCTCCGTCTTCTATGCCATGTTCTACGGGGACCTGGCGGAAGTCAAGTCGGAGATCCACATCCCGGACGTGGAGCCCGCCGCCTTCCTCATCCTGCTCAAGTAAGGCGGCCCCCGGGGGGGGGGGGGGGGGCGGGGTCCGCGGGGTCCCCGGCCCGGCCCGACCGCGTCCCTGCGCCTCTAGGTACTTGTACAGCGACGAGATCGAGCTCGAGGCCGACACGGTGCTGGCCACGCTGTACGCCGCCAAGAAGTACATTGTCCCCGCGCTGGCCAAGGCCTGCGTCACCTTTCTGGAGACGAGTCTGGAAGCCAAGAATGCCTGCGTCCTGCTGTCCCAGAGCCGGCTGTTTGAGGAGCCTGAGCTGACCCAGCGCTGCTGGGAGGTCATCGACGCGCAGGCCGAGATGGCCCTGCGCTCCGAGGGCTTCTGCGAGATCGACCGGCAGACGCTGGAGGTCGTGGTCAGCCGGGAGGCCCTCAACACCAAGGAGGCCGTGGTGTTCCAGGCCGTCCTGGGCTGGGCTGAGGCCGAGTGCAAGAGGCAGGGCCTGCCCGCGACCCCCCTCAACAAGAGGCACGTGCTGGGGCGCGTCCTCTACCTGGTCCGCATCCCAACCATGACCCTGGAGGAGTTTGCCAACGGCGCCGCCCAGTCGGACATCCTGACGCTGGAGGAGACCCACGACATCTTCCTGTGGTACACGGCGGCCAACAAGCCCCTCCTGGACTTCCCCTTGGCCAAACGGAAGGGCCTCACCCCCCAGAGGTGCCACCGCTTCCAGTCCTCAGCCTACCGCAGCAACCAGTGGCGGTACCGCGGACGCTGCGACAGCATCCAGTTTGCTGTGGACAGGCGGGTGTTCATCGCCGGGCTGGGCCTGTACGGGTCCAGCTCGGGGAAGGCCGAGTACAGCGTCAAAATCGAACTCAAGCGGCTGGGCATGGTCCTGGCTCAGAACCTGACCAAGTTTGTGTCTGATGGGTCCAGCAACACCTTCTCGGTCTGGTTCGAGCACCCAGTCCAGGTTGAACAGGACACCTTCTACACGGCCAGCGCTGTGCTGGACGGGAGCGAGCTCAGCTACTTTGGACAGGAGGGGATGACGGAGGTGCAGTGTGGGAAGGTGACCTTCCAGTTCCAGTGCTCCTCAGACAGCACCAATGGGACTGGGGTCCAGGGCGGGCAGATCCCTGAGCTCATCTTCTACGCCTGAGCTGCTGTGAGGGGCCCCTCCTGCCAGCAGGGGGCGGGGGCGGGGGCGAGACCCCACTGGCTGCCCGAGGACACCATTAAAGGCTTCACTCACTTTGCGTCACCCCCACTCTGAGACGGAACCTTGCTACAAAGCTAGAGCCCAGGTACCGGTCTGAGGTGTCTCCTGGTGGCTGGGGTGCGTGTCTCAGCCAGAGGGCAGATCTGGGACCCAGGGCAGGCCCCAGGTCCCTCCCCCGCACCTGTGCCTCCTGCTTTGGAGAGCGCCTTCACCCCTCCCACCCAGTCGGATTCTGAGCGGTCCCAAGCTTAAGGTGAGACCTTCCCTTCTAAATCAGTGAAGTCACGGTTCACCTACGTGAGTGGGTTTTCTTAATAAAGGTTTCATAAGACGATGGGCACGTGTAGATAAATTACTAACAGGAATTGTGATCTGCATGTTCTTCTCCTAAAGATCTGAGGAGACGAGAGCCCCTGCCTGCGGTGGGCATGTGGGTAGCAGTTAGGACCCCGTGCGGGGCACACACGACCCCTGTCCCAGACCCAGCAGGTGGTGGCTGGAGTACCAGGATCCCTGCCACCCACTCGGGAGGCCTGGGTGGAGCGCCCGGCTGCTCTGCCAGGAGGTGTGGCAGGCACTTGGGGAGCTCTCAACACCACCCGCCCACAGGATGGGCTGTGGCCCCAGCGCCACGATTCCCAGTCTGCACCTGCATGTCCTGTGTAGAGGACAGTGGGCCTGCTGATGGTGTACTGGCCGGAAACCCTACCCTGCTGAGCGCCGGCAGCTTTGGGGAGACATTTCCTACTGGAGGCTCCCACGCCTAAGAGCCCCAGGCGGCCCGCCCACAGCCCAGAGGCCTACCTATGGCAGGTGCGTTGATGCACAGCTCTCGGGCCAGCAGGAGAAACGTCTTCCCCAGCACATAGACGTTCACCTGTGGGGAGAACACAGCCAGAAATGCATTGGGTCCAAGGAAAGGCCTGCGTTCTGTCCTCACAGAGCCGCCCCCCCCCCCCCCCCCAGGTCACACAGGGCCCCGCCGCCTTCAGGCAGCTGCCCGGCCTCGGCTGTGCTGCTGCACTGCGGTTGTGTCCGCTTGGAGAACGGCCTGGAAGGTACTGGCCGGGGCACAGTCCCTATGACACCATCTAAGTGTCAGTCACAGGCCTGCTGTGCCCACACACACTGCACCCGCCACAGCGGGCCCAGCTGCCTCGGCCTCAGGGCCTGAGCCTCTCTGCTGGGACCCCACCGTTCCTCAGTGACCGCCTGCTGCTGCCACAATGGCCCCAGTCTGCCACGGAGCCTGCTGTCCGGCCTCCCAGCAGGCAGGTGGTGGGAGGCTGCTTCAGAGTGGGGTCTGGCAGTTTGGAGGTGCACGGCTGGAAGCCCAGGTTCCTCAAGCCCCCCCGGAGACCCCCACAGCCAGGATGCCGCAGCCTCAAGCCTGAGACCCTCTGGCCTTTCCAAAGAACTCCCCAAATCCTGCCCAACCTGTGCGCCCTGGGACAAGGCCCCTGTCCTGTCTTGATGCCGAGGTGGCAGACGCAGGTGCCTGAGACACAGGGATCAGGAGGCCTAAGGGGTGGGACCGGGAGGGCAGGTGCCTGCGCCTGCCTCTGTGCAGGGCTGCTGGCTCGGCGGTCTTCCGAGGAATTCCTGGGAGCCGGGGCTTCCTCGTGCATGTGGGGGTGTGAAGTTGAGTGCCCTGATGTGGAGCCTAGCGCTGAGGTGGATGAAATGAGAATCCAAGACCAGTCTCCTCTGACCTTAACCTTCTACACGTTCCCCCAAAACATTTGGCCTTTGCCAGTGGCAAGGCCCTGGGCCAGGTTCTTGCGATGTGGGCGTGTTCCACCCCCGCCACATTCTGTGGCCCCTCCAGGGAGGGGCCGGCCTTGGCAGTGGGCAGTGCCTCGCATCCACTCAGATTGTTCCGGGCTCTTGCTGGCCAGCACAAGACCCTGGCCTCGTGCCTTGGTTCAGCGCCAGGCGAGCAGCAGTGTCCACTTACTAGCCTCCTTCTGTCTTGACAGCCTGGTTGGTTTTCCATTCCCAAAGGTGCGAGGCGAGGAACTGTGCCCACCCCTCCCTCAGGATGGGGAGCAAGCTGCTTCCAGCAGCTGCCCCAGCCTGGGAAGTTACCAGGCTGGAAATGGGGTCACATGGCCCAGAACTCCACATGGCACATTTGAAACGTGGGCTAACTGGATTATCACAATTCCAATAGGTTATTTTTAGCTTGACCACAAACTATTTCAGCAATAGCTGCTGAGAGAAGCCATTTATACGGACAGCTGGCGGGACAAAAATACGAGGCAGCACCGATCCCGGCACAAGTCCATGCTGGCTGCTGCAGGAGGCCCTCCGAGCCCTGAGCCCGCTGCAGGCCCTGGCGGGCACCCAGATCAGCCTCTCCTTCTGGCTGTGGATTCCGTGGGAATCTTCGCACTGCGGTCACTGTTGCTTCCAGGGACGACCACTCTCTTCTGGAGTCCTCAGTAGAGTGGCCACGGCTTGGGACGAGGGACCCAGGACCTAGTGCGGTCACTGGAACACAGTGTCCTCAGTCCCCCACGTGTCCCACGTGCACGGGGACCCTTGTCTTGCCGCTACATTCAGCTGTTTGGAAATGAGAGACGCAACAGAAAGCGCTCTCTGGCGCCTAGAAAGCAAGTCTCTAAGCAGGCTCCAAACAGAACCGTCTTCTACGTCTGAAACGCGTACATTGTCAGTGCAGTGTTTTGTTCTAGAGTCTTCCTTGCCTAGACAAAAGCCCGCATGGGTCTCTACCAAGGGTACGTGACCCTGCTGGCAGCTGCCCTTCCGAGCCATGCGGAGACCCTCTCCCGCCCTCCTGCTCTTAGGGCCAGGAGCGCAGAGCGGTCTGCAGGGTACGTGCAGGGCGCAGGTGCCCGGGCACCGCCAGGCCAGGAGACTCAGGAAGGAAACCGGCCTACCTGAAGCAGGTCGCTGAGGTCAAGCAGCATGTCTGCAGCAGGAGTCAAGGAGCACCCAGCAGGCAGCTGCAGCCTCGTCTACCGGCCCTCAGCCCGGCACCGTCACCAGCAAGGCAGAGGCCTGACCAGCGCCATGCCCAGGGCAGGGGCCGCAGTGGGGATGGGCAGCTACGCAGGGAGGCTTCGAGAGAGCAGCCCCACATGCACACCTGCCCGCCGAGGTGTCTGCTGCCTGACAGCACACACAGCTGAGCACTGCAGCTACATCTGGGACAGCACCCACAGACACGGGGCAGTGCCCACGGACATGGGGCAGCGCCCACAGACACGGGGCAGCGCCCACGGACATGGGGCAGGGCCCACAGACACAGGGCAGCGCCCACAGACGTGGGGCAGGGCCCATGGACGCAGGGCAGGGCCCACACAGAGCAGCGCCCACAGATGCAGGGCAGCGCCCACAGAGAGCAGCACCCACAGATGCGGGACAGGGCCCAGGGACACAGGGCAGCACCCACAGAGAGCAGCACCCACAGACACGGGGCAGGGCCCACAGACATGGGGCAGGGCCCACAGATGCAAGGCAGCACCCACAGACGTGGGGCAGGGCCCACAGAGAGCAGCACCCACAGACGCAGGGCAGGGCCCAGGAACACAGGGCAGCACCCACAGACGCGGGGCCACCCTCTGGGGCAAGGTGGGCACCTGGCAGCAGTGCAGAAGTCAGCTGTGCCTGGGAGAAATGAGGTCCCCAGGCCAGGGCTCCAGAGCTGCAGGCGGCCAAGCCAGGAGCCCTGAGGCCTTGAGGAAACGCACGAGCTTCATCACACAGCGGCCACAGCCAGGGCCGGCTCCTCGGGGACAGGAATAACCACCACGAGGAAAGAGGAGGAAAGACAGCAAAGAAAGCGAACAGGCAACAACCAACCTTCAGGACGGGAATCAGAGACGCCAGAAAAGAACCATAGTGAAAAAGAACAAAGCCCAAAGGCTCCGTGATGTCTCACTCCAACCAAATGACATCCTGGAAAAGACGGATCAGGCCCGTGGCTGCCAGGATCGGAGGGAAGGAGGGAAGAGCAGGCGTGCAGGGGCCTCTCCAAACAGTGAGGCTGCGTGGGGACAACACGCCCGCCACACACACAGAACGCGCAACCCCAGACACGGCCCACCAGCTGCACACGCGTCGCACTGCTGCTGCCACCGCGCGGGGGAGATGGGCAGACAGGAGCGCTGAGCCTCCGTGCTTCTCCTACAGACCTGCATCCTCTCTGAACGTCAGCCACCTTTAAAGGATAATGAGGGCCAACACCACGGTCAGCCTTTGGGACAGAAGCTTCCGCAACAGCAGAGGACAGCGAGTGCATGAGCAGAGCCGGCCTGCACCGGACTCCAGAAACAGGAAGAGCGACTCCACAGCGCCACACAGCTCCCACGAGGAGAGGGCTGGAAGGCTCTCGCACAAGGGGCATGGAAAAAAGACGTTGATTTTGGTGCAAAGAATTCTGGAATCCGTGTGTGACAGAGCGCGAAAGCATTCACAGAAAATGGGGATTATGAAAAAACCTAGTGGGTGAAGCCTCCACCTCAGTGCCCGCATTCTACAGGGGCGCCGGTTCAAGTCCCAGCTGCTCTGCTTCTGAACCAGTTCTCTGCTATGGTCCAGTGAAGCAGTGGAACATGGCTCAATGCTTCCGCCCCTGCACCCATGTGGGAGACCCAGAAGAAGCTCCTGGCTCAGGATCAGCTCAGCTCCGGCCGTTGTGGCCATCTGGGGAGTGAACCAGAGGATGGAAAACCTCTCTCTCTGCCTCTGCCTCTCTGTAATTCTGCCTTTCAAATAAATAAATCTAAGAAAACAAGGAGGAAGGAAGGGAGGGAGGGAGGAAGAACAAAGGAACTAGGCATAGATTTCAATTGTTTTGGCAACAAAATAAACATTTTTCTAAAGATTTATTTTATTTATTTGAAAGATAGTTACAAAGAGAGGAGATGCAGAGAGTCTTCCATCCACTGGTTCACTCCCCAGATGGCTGCAATGGCCTGCCCTGCGCTGATCCGAAGCCAGGAGCCAGGAGCTTTTTCCAGGTCTCCCATGTGGGTGCAGAGGCCCAAGTATCTGGGCCATCTTCTGCTGCTTTCCCAGGCCACAGCAGAGAGCTGGATCGGAAGAGGAGCAGCCGGGACTAGAACCAGTGTCCATATGGGATGCCGGCATTTCAGGCTAGGGCTTTAACCTACTGCACCATAGCGCTGGCCCCTAAACATTTTTTTTTTTTTTTTTTTTTTTATTTATGAGTTACAGAGAGAGGGGGAGATAGAGACAGATCGTCATCTGTTAGTTCACGCTGCAAATGGCTGCAATGGCCGGGGCTGGGCCAGGCTGAAGCCAGGAAGTCAGTTTCTTCCAGATCTCCCATGTGGGAACAGGGGC